CCCAGCCCCCCGCCGCTGGGTTCCTCTCCGGCCAGCTCTGCTCCTCCAACCCCCTCCCGACCAGCCTTCCTTCCTGTCAGCTGGTCCCACTCCTCCTCCCCCCCCCATCTCTCCAAGTCAGCCCCACTCCCCTCCCCCCCGCCGCCCCCGCCCCCATTCTGAGATCATGTGTGTCTGGTATTTTTTTGAAACCCATCTGGTAACCCTACCTCCAACCTGCCCTGGAGCAGCGAGAGGGGCAGTTTGCCTCTGGCACCCTGCTCTCTGCCCTGCGTCCGGCCAGGCTGGGAGGTGAAAGTCTCCGTATCCCTCGGCGCCAGGGGCCGGACAGTCCCCACCCAGCCGACCCAGGCTCGCGGCAGTGGTGCATCTGCGCTGCTACACCTGGTCCCTAGGAAGTGAGCAGAGCCCAGCAATTCCCTGGGCACAGCCCGCAGGTCTGCCTGGGGCCAAGGAGCCCGGGTTTCCCTGCCTCCCCCGGCCCCCAGCACAGGCGCTCACCCAGAGACGCGTTAACCACGGCCACCCCGGAGACCAGCAAGGCGCCCAGGCTGGCGAAGGAGACGGGCCGCTCGCTGGCCACGCGGAAATGCTCCTGGTGGTTGAAGAAGCCGATCACACCAGCCGGGAGGGTGATGAAGCCCCATGTGCTCTGCCCAGCGGAAAAGGGCACCGGAGCCAGCTCCTGCTGCAGGGACGCCCCGGGGAATTCAGCAGCCAGGCTGCCGTACACATGGGTGGCGTTGGACTCCAGGCGCAGCTGGAGGAGCACCGCCCGGCTGGAGGCCTTTGTCAGCACCACGGTGCCCACGGCATGGCAGGGCATGGAGAAAACGACATCGGCTGTGGCATACGGGCCCATCCCGCCGGGGAGGGGGAACTCCACGGGAGCGGGGGGCCCGCAGGAACCTGGCAAGAAAGCACACGCTGGGCTGGGCTGCATTGGGAGGCTCTCCCCTGGCCTCAGCCTCTCCAGCTCTCCCTCTCTGGCCGAGTTTAGAAGAGACAAACGTTAGACCCGCTGGGCTCTAGCAACACCGCAGCTGAGATCGTCTGGCCGGTCACTCACAGGACACGCTCAGCCTTAAACAGGGGAGCTGGGCGAGGTGTGGGGAGCGGCTCTGCGCCCCTGAAAGAGGCGGGGCCTCAGGCAAAAGGGGCAGGGCATCGCCCGGACATGCCATGCCACCCCTCCCCTCCCCCCGGCTGTCAGAGCCACTGTGCCTGCACCGTGCCACACAGCGCTCCGGCAACCATTGAAAGCCTCATCTCGGCCTCCCTTAGCGGCTCCAGTTCAGCCACCCTGGTCTCCCAAGCCCGGACACGGCCCCTGAGGGCCAGGGCCTCCTTGCACCGAGGACACACCCTCCACCACCCGTCCAGAGGGCAGGTCTCCAGACACGCTACACTGGGTGCCATGAACTGGGGAGCCCCTCTCTGCTTTGCTGGGCTCCGGCCTGCAACCTCTGCGCTCCCAGAGCTCGTCCTGCCTGGCCGTTTGTTGGAGTGAAATCGGGCGGTTTGGGTTTTAGCTTAAAGAAAGGTAAAGACTGAAGTGCAGCTCGCCCCCTCGACCTCCGCTCTAAACCACGTGCGCCCGCCCTCGGCCGCACTCCTGGGCCTGCAGAACCCGGCAGCGCTCACAAGCCTTCGGTATCTAAACTCCCTACCGCAAAGCTCGTGCTGCTCCCAGCTGCCAGATTCGGCCCATGTCACACTCCGGCTGGGCTGCATGAAGAGCTGTATCTGGGGCTAGGGTGGGTAGGGGTGGGGGCTACAGCCCCTCTAGCCCCCTGCCCCCATGGCACCCCGGCCCTCTGGTCCTATGTTCCCCTGAATTGCCCTGTACAGATCCCGTGATTGCTGGCCAACAGCCGTGCCCTGAACTCGTGGCCCAGTGCTCAGCAGCAGAGTTCTGGCATCCTCAGCTTTCCCTGCTATGAGAAACCCCCCGTCCGGATTGCCTGTTTTCTCTGCACACCCCGGACACGTCACCCCACGCGGCTGGCACCCAGTGGACACCTGACCCCAGGCCCAAATGTACCGGGGAGGTGAAATGGGGCCCACAAGTCAGCCCCTTTGTGCACTCCGGTCACCTCACCATGGCTGGATTTGCAGAAGAAGCCGGTGGCTTCGGCATGGGGCCGTGTGTCGCAGCCTCGGGGCTCCCATGTCCCGTGTCGAGAAAGGTCGGACGGGTGGAGAGACATCACTGCACACTGGCCGGGCAAATTAGCCACAGCTGCTTGGAGAGAAGAGAGAAACTCCATTTGCTGGGGACTGCGGACTCCTCTGCCCAGCGGCCTCGGTCCAGACTCCAGAGAACCTGAGCAGTAGCAGGAGCTGGGGGGAGGGGAGCGTGGGATGAGCCTTGCTCTGGGCCCTGGCAAAGGTGGGTTGGGTGAGCCTGTCGTAGCCCTTCCTGGAGGGGTGCTCTTATCCCAAAACTGTCATGGGGCAAGGGGCGTGTCCTGGCTTAAAGCAGCCAGGGGCTGCGGGTTCTGGCTGAGGGGTCTCTCTGGAGCTTTGGGGGCAGGGCAGGAGTGGAAGAGCCGGGCGTGGGGCATCTCTTCCTCGGCAGAGGAGGAGGGCCGGCCCGGCCCGGCTGACACGTTTTCCGGTTTGCTCGGGAGAGCCCCGGGAGAGCCCCTGGCGGAACACGTACGGCGATGCCACTTGAAGAAGACAGGCTCCGCG